TTATTCACATTTAATTTAATCTTTGCTTTATATCAAAATTTTAAAATATATATATTAAAAATCTTCTATTTTTTTATAATTTTTATTTTTCCATTTATTGCAAACAATGATGTAAGATGATTTTCTATTCCCTCACCTTTATCTCTCACCATCTATCTCCATCCAAACATACCTTTAAAATATTTTGGGGATATTAAACAAAAGCTTTTGGCATGAGTCACAAATATATTTTTAAAATAATAAAAAATAAAAATAAAAATAAAAATCCCAATCATAAATTGGAAACAAGACTATGTGCAATTTAGGGAGATTTATCATAAAAAATCTTCTCCCAACATTCCCACATGAGCTTATCTCTATACACCATGATTGGATTTGACCACCTTTTTGTGCTTGAGGCTTTGACTCTTTTTTATTTTTTTTTTCAATCTTCTTTTTTTCAAAAAAAAAAAAAGTTCCAATTGACAATATTGCATACCCTCTTGCTATGAAGTGATTTTGATTATAGATTTTTACGTGAACTTAATCAATTAAACTGATTGATATTTTTAAATTAAGTAGTTTCAAATCATTCTTTCATAAGAATACATATTTTTAAAAGATCTTTTATATGATGTCTGATTCTATAATAAGTTCTATACACATGACCCATAATGAAAAAATTAAATATATTAATTCAATAATAATGAGCAATATTGATCAATCATAAACTTTGTATCTATAGATAAAATCTCTTAAAAATGATCAAAATGTCAGTTCTTGATTTTTGGAAGATACTGAATAAATGACTATTTGAATAAGGATTTAAAGTATAAAAATTTTAGTGACAAATAAAAAGCAAGTCTAACTTTTAAGGATGTCGTAGTATATTTAAATCTAAATTTTAAATACTTCAATCTATAATTAACGATATTAACGTTGTCAATATATTTAACTTAAACAATTCAAAATCACGTAATTTGATATATATTTATTTATTTATTTTTATATTAAAAATCTCTTATGAAGAATATAAATATTATTATTATATTAATTCTTAATAAGCATGCAGCACTCTTTAATCTTATAAAGTTATGATTGGGCTGTCGATTCACTAGGTAGTAGGTCAAATAAACTTTCATGTAACTTTCTTTTCTAGCAAACAAGAATATGCTTCAATGCATGCATATATGTATATATATATATATGTGTACACACACACACACACATATATATATATATATATAAAGTGAAATCAAACCCTATTTAGCTTTCTCTTCTACCAAAATATTTTACCCTAAAGGTCTCTAATATTTATACCCAGTACTTAAGCTTTAATTGATAGTTGATGAACATGCATGCCTTACTGGTAATATTTTATGCTATACATGTGTTTGTTTCTCGAGAAAAGGAGAATATTGGTTGGTAAGGTGAAATATCAGGTTCCCTAAAAGATGAGAAGATTAGAAAGTTCAAACCATTAATGATGCAAAACTCACTTACATGGCCATGATTTTTAATTATTAATATCTTTGCTGATTCAAAAGTAAAAACAAAATAATTATGAGACATATAAATTTTTTTTTCAAAAAAAAAATTAACTTTTATTTTATTTTATTTTATTTTTTTCTGCTTAATTTGTGGGAAACAAAATCAATTTCCAAACAGGTGAACACAATCATGGAGTTTCGTTGACACCAAAACATACATACATATATACATGTAAAGCAAATATATACCTAAGAAATATTCAATAATTTATATTACTAATTATATGTTGTTAAATTTTACGAAAATATTAAAACATTTTCTTCCATGGGACTTAAACAGTCTATTAATTTACAAAGAAGCAATTATATATGTTATATACGTGTATGTAATGACTGCTCCATGATTGTATGTACCACAGTTGATCAATTAAGATCTTAAGGTAAGAAAATCAAAATGAGATGAAAAATATTCCACCAACCCACCAGAGGAAGTGCGATGTTCAACCCAATTAGTGAAAAGTGAAATATATAATAATTACTTACATGTGTATATATATAGACAATGATAGTTCATCAGGCTCTAATTGTGGCATAATCACCATATCATTTGGGCCGCCAACAAACTGAATACATCCCACGTTTGCATTTCTGACAAATCAGTTTCCTAAACTCATCGAAATCATAGTGAATATAATTATCAACTTCTAACTATATAAATATATGTATCTATATATATATGAGTTTTGTAGTATTAGTGGGGGTATAATATATAATAAAATATGAAAAAGGGGGCAGAATTAGAAATAAGGGAAAGATCGAGGGGTGTTGTTGAAAATAGAAAAAGAGAAGAGGCAATTAGAATAATAATTAAGAGGGGCAGCACTCATTGGTATTCAGTGTCCCTTTTCAGTTTTTATCTTTAAACGCAGCAATCCCGAACCAAAAAAAAAAAAAAAAAAAAAAAAGAAAACGAAAAAAGCCTGAAACTTAAAATGAAGCTTTCTGAAAAAGAAAATGAAAACTTTCAATCCCAGCATTTCTTTATTTTTCACAGCGGCCCCACTTTCTTCGCACGTGATTAAATTTTTTAAGACCGTTAGATTTTTTATTTTTATTTTTATAATTAATATAAAAAACTATAGGTCAAATCACATTCTATAAATGTACCATAAATTAATTTACAATATATAATTTAATAAGAAGTAAAATTTAATTTATTATTGAACTAGTGAAGTTGTAATGATTAAATTAAGTATTATTTTTAATAAATTATGATGTATTTGGACAAAATCGAAACTTTAGTAGTTGTATTAACTTTGTGTTTAAATAAATTATTACGTGAAAAATGAAATTTGTTTTAAAAAAAAAAAAAAAAAAAAAGGAGAAGGAAGAGGAATTAAAATTGGAATTGAAATATGAAATAAAAATAATAATAATTTATTTTGCTTTATCCGTTGCCTCGACTTTAACATGATAGCATGATGAAGGCTCTTTCCTTTTTGTTTTCATTACTTATCTTTTTCATACAAGTTCCTCATTCGCCTCTATACACTTGTATTATATATACATATACATATACATATATAAAATATTTATACCCAAAAGTAACCGTTAAAATTAAAAATAAATTAATTAGTGATTAAGTATCCTTGGATACAGATTATCACTCACTTTTAAGATTCATTTTTTATTTACTAGCTCAATTTAATTATAATAAGTTTTTATTTCGTTATAGTTATTTCAGTTAAATAAAATTAATTAGTATAAAATATATTTTTTTTATTAGAATATGTCATGGTTAATTAAGATTAAATTTAATTTAATTATTTAAATTATTAATTTTATTAAGTATATAGTAATAAATTTTATATTTTTAATGAATAATAGTTTTTTTTTTAAAAAAAAAAAAAAAAAACTCAAAACACTAAATTTATGGTGGGGCCGTTGTGATAATTAATGTGTTTGAAGATTTATGGGTTTAATCTGGTTGTAAATAGAAAAAGGACAAAAATTGGTGACTACCAAATCCCGCAGCCCATTTTCAAATTTCAGAAAATTAAAAATTAAACTGAACCAGAATTGCAATCCTTTGATCATTCGCACCACAATTACTCCTCCATTTTTAACCAACCTCTCAATTTATTAGAAAGAAAATTAACCTCAATGCATAATAAAGTACTGTACATTAATTATGGATCATCACTGGGAATTTTTCTTCTTTTCTTTTTTTTTTTTTTTTTTAAAAAAAAAACAACTTAGAACTAGCTAGAAATTGGCTCTAAAGGTCAAACAATTGAAAAAAGATGTCAAGTAAAATGGGGGTTAAAATTAGCAAAAAAGTAATATAATAATAATATTTATAATTCTAAATGACTTGGACTTGGGATGGATTCTAATTTTAAATCAGTAACTGCACAAATCACGTTGCCTGAGCCTGAGTTGGTAAAACAGAGCAGAGCTCGATGGATCCATAATCCAGCAGTTCTTCAATCATTTGCTCGATGTGATCTTCTTCCAGCCGCTTGAATTGCAGCTGGGAACTCTGATCATGAACTTCACGATGGTGGTGATGATGATGATGATGATGATGAACTTGCACTTTCTCCACCGCGTCGACATTGTTGGCCGCTACCGGTTTCTGCTTCTCCACCAAATGGGTAACCGTGAGGCCGCCATTGTTACTGGAAAGTGAAGCTTCCGGCGGCGCCTTCTGTGACTGCTTCGTCATTTGCAGAGAAGCCATGTAACAGCGGTGAAGTTTCGCCGTCAAAGTCGCCGAGAGAAGTTTTGACGACGATGACTGCGGTGCGTTTGGGTTGTAGGGGAAGTTAGTTCGTGCTCTCGGTCCACACATGAGTCTAGCGGCTTCGTCGTACGCCCGCGCCGCGTCTTCCGCCGTTTCGAACGTGCCGAGCCAGATTCTGGTTTTCCTGCAAGAGACACGAAACGAAACGTTTCGGGTAAGCAAAGTGAGGAAGTAGATGGAAAGAGTGAATGAAAGCGAGGGAGAGAAGTTGGAAATTCGGGGAGCTTACAATAAAGGGTGACGAATTTCGGAGACCCAAGAACCCCAATGCCTTTGTCTCACGCCTCGGTATCGCTGTTGTGGTCTGGCCATGGCTGAAAAGATAAAAAACGTTTCGGGTGAAAAGTGTTTGCGAAAATGCCTGAGAGAGAAAGTTTCTAGTGAAGGGAGGGGGATAGTGGGGTTTATGTAGTTGGTTTTGTAGGCAGACACAATGGGCAACCGTGAGACTCTAAAAGAGTTTTTTTTTTTAAGATTTAATTTAATTAAAATTTTTTTCCTTTGCAAATCTCTGGCAACCAATTTGGGCAAATGGGTCCCATGAAATGACAAATTGTTTTTGGGTCTGGATTTATTTAAATATATATATATATATATATATATATACACACACACTAAATCTATCAGTTAAATTACCAGTTGGCTTTATTGCAAGCTAGTGATGATTTGTTGAATAAATATTTGGCAACTGATTTTCAAAACTGCTGACCAAATTCAGTTCACATGGTCCTTAAATTTTTGTTAAAAAAAAAATTTAGAAAAACAAAATATTTCTTTCTTCAAGAAGATCTAAAAGTCATCGTCCATTGGATTCTTCATGTGAGTTTGGATACTGGGCTCAATCAACATTAATTCATCCTTGTTCAATATAACAATTAATCCACATATTAAAAAAATAATAATACTTTTTTTAAAATTTAATATACAAAAATATATCATATTCGCATTAAAATTAGAAAATTTCTACAGAATCAAAGTCTAAACTTAGACTTGAATTAGTGTATATTTAGTTACTAGTGATTGGGATTAAAACAGTAAAAAGATCATTGTGCAATCTTTAAGGAATCTTGAGCTTTTAGATTATGTATATACTGAACATGCATGTTTGCTGCTCATAATTAAATACCAGTTGATGACCAATTTGGTCTCTGGCAAAGGCAAGACCCGATTGATCGTCATAATTTATATATCTATATATATATTTATATATATGAGTAAGTTTTTGTACTACTTAAAAGAAAAATTAAGGGAATATGATTGGGCAGTCAATGTTAGGACACATTGATTTGAGAATCTTAGACCGTAATAATTGCCTCCCTCTAACATTACAAATCATTTCATCAAATCTTCATCTCACCACTATATATTAATCACTCCTATATATAAGAATAAATACAGTCGAGTTTTACCAAGTGGTTATTAATCAAAATAAGCTGGAGATACATGGTGGGTTTTTTTTTTTAAATATATTATGGGAATGAATTTTGTAAGATATTGTATGGTATATATATTAATATTGTTAGAGTTTGTTGTATGTAGTCCAGAGACATGGATGAAAACGACGACGTGTGGAGGGAGAGAGAGAGAGGATGGAATGGCAGATCGTGGCTGCTAAATTAGGAAACATAAGCATCTGTCACATGGGGGTGAAGGACAAACAGTGTTTTATGTGCTTGCATGGTCATGTCTCATGTTCACTGTTTCCCCACGTGCCTTGATTAATGTCTCCTTCTCTATTCTTCGTATGGTGACATATACTGCACATACTCTATACATATATATATATATATAATACACAGAGACATATGTACAGATATGTATATAGATATATATGATGAGATAGAGATTTCTGTATTTGTCTAGACAAACCTTAATTACAAGAATAGAGTAAAGAAGATAAGAAAATTGATAAGATCTTTTACATTTATACAGAAAGAAGACTTACTATTCTTGTATTGTAATTTTCCACGAGTATCAGAAGATTTGAAACCAAGAAAACTGGGGTATATCTCTTATTGGAGAAGATTATTATTTTATTGTATGCATACGTTATTTTTAATTAAAAATTTTAAAGAGAGATTAAAAAGTTTTTAGTTTTCAAAATTTCTTGTTCATTTTCAATTAAAAATAAATGAAATGAAAAAGTAAATAAATTTAACAAATAAAGAAAATTTAATTGTCAAAAGATATTATTTTTACTAGAAATATAATAAATTC